TTTAATGATTATATGTTATTAGAATAAATATGAACTCACAGTGAAAGAACATGTTCATTACAGCACCTGTGTGTGTGTGTGTGTGATGTATTGTTTTCATTGGCTTTTATTTACGGGCCCATTATGCTGCGTTTCCCAGCAGCCACTGCAGAAGCACATTGAGCAGCTGAATAGAGAATCACCATGACAACCGTGGTCAAACTTTTCAGCCATTTCAGCTCATTTAGAGTCGTTGTTTCTGTCAGCAGCAACTTCAGGAGAACTTCACTCAGTTATTTATTCTGTCTGATCAATTAACACCAATCTGATGTCTCTCTCTCATTAATCCTGTGTGTCTGACTGTCTGTATATTTGGCTCTGTGCTGTAATCTGTCCCCATCCTGAGGGACTGTAGGACATTATTCATCTGGACAGTGCTGGTGTGCAGTAATGCTGGGCATTGTGGGTAAACAAGGAGTCTGGATTAATGTTAATCTGCTGGACATCACAGCGGGGGCTCTGCAGATGGATCGCACTGAAGGAGCCTTTAAAAGTCACATTTCAAGAACCCGACTGAAGAAATAAAACATCGTGTAATATTTCTCACATTGAGACAACAAACAGTGAATGTTTCTGCTCTGTGAGCGAATTATATTTACAACCTGTACAACATACAACACCCTCTGTCCTTACAGTCTGCACTCAGATAAAGAAAAAACTCTGGGAAAAATGTCTCAAACAAGTCGCCTAAAACATTCACCTGCTCCCTGCAGATGGTCTGAAGGCGATCCTTCTCCTCCGTTTCCAGCATCAAGTCTTTTATTTTCATCACCACCTTAGATTTGATTCATTTCCAACTTTCAACAACAGAACAGCAATATCGATCGATACCTCTCTTCACAATATTTAAATCTGGGTTGTTATGTAGTCCAGTAAGGCAATGAAACATCTACTGAGGAAACGATTCAAATCCAACCACACGCTTCATTTTTAGCAAAGCAGCACTGTGGACCTGGTTTTATATCAATATTTAAATATATATAAATATGTATAAAAATAATATAAATCCACCGACTGCCGAAGCTTCTGGTCAATTTTGTAAATGAAATGTGGTGTGCAGAAATGTGGAGAAAAAAAATAAGTTCTTAACTGGTTGATTGTGGAGTGCTTCTACCGTTGGCATCTCCGATGTAGTTCACTGTTTATCAGCTGTTCTCTGTTATTGTTATACACTAAATATAATATGAAATATCCATAAATTGTTTAATTCAGTGAAATTCAAAACTGTTTCGAAAACTTTAATGACAGACGAAGGTTTGAGAGTCGGTGTGTAAACGTGAGGTTGTATTTAGTTTTAAACCTGCGACAATTTCAGACATTTCAGACAGAAGAAACGGACTGGGTGTCCAATAACCTTTACAGTTGTTGACCTGGTGAAAGCTCGTCATCTGTAAGTAAAGCCAAGCTCTTGTCCTGGTTCACTGGTCGTCCCAGGTTTCTAATATCACTGTATTGATTATAATCTTTGTATGTGATCAGCGGCTCAAAACTTGTGTTGCAACAATCCTCTGATACTTTGGTCCCGGGGACGAGGAGCAGCTCCTGAGTTTCTTTCTTCTTGGGTTTCTCTGAGACTGTCAGACTGATGAAAAGTGTCACTGAGACTGTTCAGTCAGTTACTGGTTATAAAGGATGCACACAGACTGAAGATGAAATTCAACATCAACCAGTCCAGAGTAGCTGATGTAGAAGAGATAATGAGGTTGTTGTTGCCGGGTGGAGCTGAAGTTGAAGAGAAGACTGGTCAACACATCCTCGTTGTACAGACACAGGGAGTGTGTGGATGCCTGTGGGTGTGAGAGATTCATTTTGGAGAAGCAAGTTCTTTATTTTGTTTTAATGAAGCACGTCAGTCCTCCTCCTCCTCCTCCTCCTCCTCCTCCTCGCCCCGCTCACTATTCTCTGTCCTTGGATAATAAAAGTTGTTGCTGTGTGAAGAGGAGTTTCCCTCTGGGGAAATGTTCACGAGATGTTCTGATATAAAAATGTAATAATCAACACTTAAAAAATGTCCTTGAGCTTCTTCCAGAAATCTGATTTCACTGAGGACCATTTCTCAGTTTGGAGTTTAACATTAAGCCTCTCAGCGCACTCGTCTTCATATTTAAATCTGAGTTGTTATGTAGGAAACTTCACTGTCTAGTAAGGCAACGAAAAATCTACTGAGGAAATGCTTAATTTTTACCCTAAAATCATCAACAAGACAAAAAAAGACTAAATCTACGAATGGACCCCTGTAGGTCCAACAGTGTCATCCTGTTGTTTGTTGTAAACTAGTTATCAAGGCTTGAATATGCTCTATATGCTGAGAAGTCATTTCAGACAAACAAACCCCAGAATGTCTCTACATAACAACTTCTGATCAGAAGTACTTCTTGGGTGGCGACGTTGCTCTGGATCTGGTTGAAGCTCATGTCCTTCTTGAGACATCTCTCCAGGAATCTCGGAGGTGGAAGACTTCTTGAGCTTCTGGTTGTCAAACATCCCCACTACCCCACAGTCCCTCCTCTCCTCCAGCAGGAGGCGCTCAGCAGTTTGAAAAGCCAGTAGGTAGGTGGATTTGAATCCCACTACACCAACTAAACCATCTTGTGGACCATCTAGCATCAGGTAGCTGCGTTAGCCAGCTGACACCCTGAGAGAACTGCTGATTATTGAATTATGAAACTTCAGCTTCCATATGAAACATATGAACATTTCCATATTTGATTGGAAGTTCCAGCTGCTGCTCGTCTTCCACAGTGTGTGAAACTCTCAGGTGTTGCTTCAGATTGCAGCGATTTCAGAAACACAATCCTCAGTTTATCAGCCTGTAAATTATAAAGAAATAACACATTAAATTAAATTGCATCCCTTAGTGTCCTACTGAATGTGTGTGTTTCATTTTGTAACTCTGGGTAAACAGGAAATTTGATCTATTTAAGAAGTGCAGTAGATTGAAACTTAATGTGATTAAAAACTATATTTTATAAGCTCAAATGTACATAAAACAACTTGTAGACTTGATATAAGGCTACTACACAGTCACATACACCAGTTTCAACAGGTTTACTTTACATTTTAAAGGGTTTTCATCCAAAATCTAGAAAACTAATTAAGATTGAAACTTGGAAGAAGTTCTCTGGGAGGTAGAAAGACAGGCCCAGAGCTTAGAGGTTTGGTTCAAAGGCGCCCTCGCTCGGGGTCCTGAGACCTTTTCATGGATGTCTTTGGATGATCGAGTCAGCCTCAGTCAGGCAGATGGTCTCGGTCTTCCTGGCCTTAATGAATTTGCTACCTCCTTGGAGCTCCAAGAGAAAGCAACGAGCTACAGTTACAGTTGTCTAGATAGATAGATAGATAGATAGATACTTTATTTATCCCAAGGGAAATTCAAGAAATCTCTAGGCCTTTGCGTTCCTTAGCTAGGGCCATTTAGATGTCAAAGGTCGAGAGGTCACAATGTAAAGTCAATTGGGGCCTAGTCACCAATATGTTTGAGACCTGTTTGGTACAATGTGCTGATGGTGTCTTTGTTTGTGTTCCTCTGTAGTCCCAATGACTAACAACAGAAACAGTTTCCTGCTGAGTGTAAAACTACAACTGTAAATCAGAACCCTGCAAAGCTCGAATGGCAAATATAAAAGCTAATCCCTGTCAGATCTACTTTGGGAACAGACGGAGGGGATCAGGACACGGCAAACCAGGGAAATGTTTGGGATCAATTTGGTGGTATCTTCTGCTGCCAACACGCCCTCGGGTTTATTCCCATATCTGCTCCTCTTGTTATATTTCCTCAGAAACGTTTCCTCGAGGGATTCATTGAAGGTAAGATGCTAAGAGTCAATATTTAACCTTAAATAGCTTCTGATAAACTCTCAGTTCGAGCTACAATAATATCTGTCTGCCGCGCTCACTGAAGTTAAACTCATTAGTCGCCTGAAGGAGGTTTAAATAGAAACAAAAGCTTCATATTATATTAAATCTTCTGTAATTGATGTGAACACTGTGGAAGAGTTTGTTTGTCTCCCACAGGCAGCTGCTGGAAACTGAACACTGTAATCTTTAACATTGGTCTGTCAGACTATAAGCAGACGGTTCATCAGTGGACTTAAAGTGCCGCCATGTTGGAAGACTAAACAAGTGACTGTAATACTGTCAGCACTTTAAATCATTTCTGTGGGTTTCTTAACGCAGAGTGCAATGTTACCTGTACCTGTTCAACCATGTCCATCATCTGTATGAGTTCAACCAACGGTAGTGGGAGTGGGCGGGACTTAAACTGGACATTGGTTGAACTGTAAGTGGGCGGGACTAACAGGAAGTGGTTAATTTGAGCCTCAAACTGTGAGTTGTTCATATTTATTAGGAAATTGTAAGAGCTGAAGCTTCAGAAGAAGAGTAAGAGATTGATTTAGAAAATGTTTTTTTTTAATAAAAGTGAAGGAAACGTTACAGATGTTCGTGTGGCTAAAACAATGAGGAACATTCATTATCTGTTTTTAAAACCTCCAGAAACCATCTGAGAATAATATTCTTTTATTATGTTGACATACGTATTTCTGATAAGCCCCCCCC